ACCACTCCCTATCCATGTGGTTCAAATAGGGCTTTTGTGGCTCCATGATAATGCAGGGAACTATGCCTTAGAGTATTTAGGAGAGAATGGTTCTTTCCTCATGATTGGTCTCGAATGGACACTTGACCTAACTTAGTACAAACTGAGAATCAGCATTAGGGCTTATCCTAAAACTAGGGCAGGAAGTGTCTTCTAAAACTAGGACAAGAAGCACCAGCTAGCAGAACAGAAGCCAGGAGCTGCTCATGGCCAACCTTCCCTTTGCTTGGGAAGCACCTACCTGAGGATACAGCAAATACAAAGAAGCACAGAGTTGAAAGACAGAGAAGAGAAGGAAAATCCCAACTCCAACACCAGACTATCTAGTTTCAGTAATGCTTCCGTTCAGCACATCCTGCAGTTTCAGGAACTGGAAAGAAGCCAATGCAGTCCCTGTTTTGCATAAACCTATTTAAGTTGAGTTTCTGACATAAGGAACTAAGAGTCCTGACTAATATAGAAGGTCTTAAACTTCATCAAGGAATTTGGTTCCAGATTAGAGAAGTTGAGGCAAAAGCTGTATGGGACCCATTCGGAGAGGCTGCACTTCCCAACGTTCCTTATTGTTAAGCACACTGGCCTCTGAAATCATACTGCCTAAGTCTGCCTGGCTCGGCTATTTATTGCCTGTGAGAGGTGCCCTCCTGTGCCTCAGTTTTCTCATCTATATGATGCAGGCATTCAAAACAGTACTGTTCTTCTAGGGCTGTTGATCAAATAGGCTATCACATGTGAGTCACTTAAAACAATGCCTGGCAAATTGTAAACTCTCAATACACTTTGGGTCTTACTGTTACCTGTTATCATAAGGCACACAGGCGAGTGAGGCTCAGTCCAGACAGCAAGGCTCATTTCAGATCCAAGGAGCTGAGTTAGCTGAGGCCAAGCAGCTGGCCCTGCACCCTGGTCAGAGTGCCTCAGGGACTCTGGGGCACAGAATGTAGGAGAAACCTCAGCCCTGACCAGTCCCAGTGGAACTGGGATGTGGGCACCCCCAGACTGGTAAGCTAGGGGTTTCTGGACTAGCCAGGACATCCTTCAGATGTGGCTGCAGTTGTGAAGCCTCTAGGAGACCCTTTCCCCAACAACCATGACCACCACATGAATGTTGTGATGAGATCCTTTCATAACCACTAGCAAACCCTGGAGAGGCAGGAACCAGGCCAGGGCCCAGCCCAGATTCTGCCTGAGAAAGCACATTGCCAGGCCAGTCAATCCATTTGCATTTTTGCTGCTATGGTCAAAGATAGAACAGGACATCTTTGGCTAGAGAGGAAACTGTGCATTTTCTTTTATTAAATTCAGAATGCTCCTGACCATGAAAAAGAAAAACATGCACAGTGAGAAAAAGCCCTGGAACAGGAGTCAGAAGGCCAAAGTTCTAGTCCAGGTCTGCCCCTGGCTCACTAACGGGCCTTGGCAAGTCCCATCCCCTCTGTGGACCATGCTTCCCTCAACTGTGGAATTCTGATGGGAAGTAGCTGGATGGGGAGAAAGAAAGCAACTGGATGAAGTGGTCCTGGTGGCCTCCTTCCTATCTCATGGTTTGGAAATTCACTTTTACCACAGAGACTAGTAACTTGCCCAGTTCGAGAAAATGAATTTCTTCAGTCCTGACACTGGTTCTTCTGCCCCATTTTTTCCCACTGTTAGCTTCTTTCTCCTACTGTATTTCTCCTTAACCCACAGCTTTTGTCCGTTTCTCCCTTTCCTTTTCTGCCCTTGGAGAGCAGATTCCAAAAACTAGTCAATAATTTTAACACATGACCAACATTTGCACTAGCCCTTTGCAGCTTAAAGCTAACTTGTCCCTATAGCTCACCACGCATGGTGACTCATGGCTGTAATCCCAGCATTTCGGGAGTCTGAGGCAGGCAGATCACCTGAGGTCAGAAGTTCCAGACGAGCCTGGCCAACATGGTGAAACCCTGTCTCTACTAAAAATACAAAGTTAGCCAGGCATGGTGGCAGGTGCTTGTAATCCCAGCTACTCAGGAGGCTGAGGCAGGAGAATCGCTTAAACCCGGGAGGCAGAGGTTGCAGTGAGCTGAGATCACGCCATTGCACTCCAGCCTGGGGAACAAGAGTGATACTTGGTCTCAAAAAAAAAAAAAAAAACTGACTTCACATGTATTGCTTCATTTAGCCTGAGATGAATGGAGTCCTCCCAGGTTGATATCCCCAACATAAGACTTACTCCTCTCTATTGTCATTGCTTTATTATCTTCCTTGTGAAGTGGAATCTCTACCAGTGTGGGAATTGCCTCTACCCTGCTCATCACTGCACCTCCAGTGCTAAAGTGTAGTGTCTATTATATGGTAGACTTGTAATATATATGTGCTGAATAAACCAGCAGGCCAAGTCAATCAGACTTGGAGCTGATTGAATATGGAGCTTAAGAAAGAAGGAGGAGCCTGGGATGGCTACTGGATCCCTGTTCTTGTGAATGGTCTCGCTGCTACCTGGTCACTGCAGGAAAAGCAGGCGGAAATAGGAAGGGAACTATGGTAATAAAGGACCTGATAGGGGATAATTGCGACTTCCCCAACCTCAAGAAATAAAGAATAATGCCCAAGTAATCCTTCCATGAGAGCTGGGAGAAGTCCTCTGGGTGGCTTTTATGGAGTCTGATAATTCTGCAGCCCATAACACCAAATCAAATGATCTACAGTATTTTTGTCGTCAGCAAGTCATCTGTGACAATTTAGACAAGGTAAGGGAGTATTTGGGCTTAAGTCAATCTGGAAGAAGTTCTGTAAAAGTTTCAAGAAGGGAGAAAAAAAAAAAGCCCCACTGAAGCCAATGTTTCTGATCCAGGTCAGACTCTACAGAAAACCACATGAGCTTTCAGACCTGTTGGTCAATTCACTAAAGGGAGCACTTGTCACACCTTCCAAATGCTTTCTTCTTTCGGGGGGACTTTAATTAATGGGCCAGAGGAAGTCTGGCAAAGAGAATGACAAATGGGAAGTGGATCACCTTCAGAAACCCACTGGCACAGAAACAGAGAAATCAAGACTGGCTGCGATGCTCAACATTTATTAAAATTCTCAAAGTGTGAACTCACACCTCAGTCAGACTGCCAGTGGGCTGGCTGCGGAGAAGAGTGAGGCCCATAATAAATTCTGCAGACAGAAGCCATACCACCAACACTAATCCCAAGACTCAGGCTGACTCAGGGAAGGTAGAAAACTGAAGTTTGCATGTGGCATCTTAGGAGAGCAGGGCCCTCAGGCAGAATGTGACTTCCCTTGCTTAGTGCTGTCTGAGCCTTAGGTGGGCTCAGAAAGGAGGTGTGTGTGGGCCTTGGCCAGCAGCTCATGTAAGGGAATGAAGCGGGGGCTGAGGAAACCACCAGGCCATGCACAGTTGGGTGCGAAGCAAGAGGAAGGTTGTTACTGGAGGCCAGAGGGACCTGAAGGACCTTCACAGGCCCTTCTTTATCATTCCCATAAATGCTGGTGCTCCCCAGGATTCAGTCTTGGTCTGCTTCTATTCTCAGTTAATGCCAGCTCCAACCTGACTCACGAGACCTAGATGCATTCTACAATCTGCCTACTGGACTTTGCTTAGTAGGTGTCTCATGAGCCCTTTGAACTCAAGATCCCCCCCAAACCAAACTAATTTTCCTACTTCCTGCACAATCCTGCTCCATCCCAAAGTTCATTCTGTGAGTGGATGGCGGAACCATCTACTCAGACACTTGAGTCAAAAACCTGGATATTGGCCTCACCTCCTCTCTTTCTGTTATCCTCCATCTGTAAATAGTCAGCAAATCTAGTTCTACCTCTTGAATGGGTCTCAAACCCAGCATCTTTCTCTACACCCTCCCTAGAACACATCAGGTGACTATAGGTGCTTCCCTGTAGATCCTGTGGTAGGTACAACCAACCCACAGTAATTGAGAGAGACCGGAGGGCTGTGACTATTTGCTTCCCCTCCTGTTGAATTGCAGATGCCCCTCCTCAGCCTTGAATCCTAAAACCTAGCCCATCAAGCCAGCTCTCACAGGACTTGGGATCTTAAGTCTTTGCCCTTGGGTTCCTCATTTCTTCCTTAGCCTCTGCTCTTGACCTGGCGCTGGCCAGGCACCCCACTCACCCCTGCTTATTCTGCATAGGAACCTGCTGGCCTCTTTCTCCTTGTCCTGCCCATCCGCCGCCTCATCCTCTGAATGGCTCTGAGTGGCAGTGCCTCTCCTGATTGAGCTTCTCAGCTTAGGTTTAGCACCTTCTCTGAGTTCCCAGAGCCCTCTGTGTGTTCCTATCACCACATTCATCTCACCATATTGAATTTTCCTCATCATTTGTATAATTGACTCCTTGGCAAGGGAGGCTTAAAATGAGGTCAGTTTCCCTTGTATCTAGAAACAAGGCAACACATCGTTTTTAGAGAAAATGACTCAAGTGCCTAAATCAATGGCTTAACATATTAAACGTTTACTTCTCAGCAGTGCACAATGGCTCATGCCATTCATCCCAGAAGACTGGGAGGCCAAGGCAGATGCATCACCTGAGACCAAGAGTTCAAGACCAGCCTGGGCAACATGATGAAACCCCGTCTCTTCTAAAAATACAAAAATCAGCCGGGTGCCACTGCATATGCCTGTAATCCCAGCTACTGGGGAGGCTGAAGCTGAAGAATCACTTGAACCCGGGAGACAGAGGTTGCAGTGAGCCAAGATGGCATCACTGCACTCCAGCCTGGGCCACAGAGCAAGACTCTGTCTAAAAAAAAAAGGGGGGGGTTTACTTCTCCCACTGCAGTTGGTGGTGTGGGATATAAACAAGTAATGTCTTACTCTATGCATTGTTCAGGAACCCAGACCCCTTTCATGTAGGTCCTCAGAGACTTCTCCATACAGCAGGTGGATCAGGAAAGAGCAGGGACCACATGTGAGCCAATTCCAGACAAGGAGCAATCACCTCCACTCACATCCCACCCACATGGTAACACCTACCTTCAAGGGAGTCTGGAAACATAGTTGAGCTCCACGCCTGCGAAGAAGAAAAGAATATGAATATTGGTGAGCACTAGCATTTTCGGCCATACCTAGCCATGTTTACCAGGCAAGATTTTGTCTGTGTAATTAGTTACCAAGTTTAACCTTGGCAAAGAGAATCTTCCTTCTTTGAAGAAACCTAGACAGGCATAGCAAGAAGAATAAAGGCAAAGGCCCCTTCAGACCCCCTTCACTGCCATTGCCACACCAGTCCCTTTCTCCAACCACCCTGGCAGCCATCAGCCCATCTCAAGGCAAGCCATCTCTAGCAGAAGAAGGTAGGGCACCTCCTGTCTTAAAGGGCAGGGTCTGACTACTGTGTTCTTGTGATGACCTGGGAGTCAATAGGACTTGGCCTCTCCATGCACACTAGTAAGTATCCAGGGAGTCATAATGGGGTTACTGGAGGAGAAAGCATAGGCTTCTTCCAAGTAAGAGCAGGACAGGGGTAAAGAGAAGTCTGTGGCTGGGCACAGTGGCTCACGCTTGTAATCCCAGCACTTTGGGAGGCTGAGGCAGGCAGATCACGAGGTCAGGAGTTTGAGACCAGCCTGTCCAATATGGTGAAACTTGGTTTCTACTAAAAAACACAAAAATTAGCTGGGTGTGGTGGCACATGCCTGTAGTCCCAACTACTCAGGAGGCTGAGGCAGGAGAATCACTTGAACCCAGGAGGCAGAGGTTGCAGTGAGCCAAAATCATGCCATTGAACTCCAGCCTGGGTGACAGAGTGAGACTCTGTCTCAAAAAAAAAAAGAAAAAAAAAGAGAGAGAGAAGTATGTACTCCAGGATGCCACTGAGGAGGACCATATCTGTATTCCAAACCATAAAGTCACACCTTTTCATTAGTTGGTCTTTTCTGCTAAACTCCCAGCTACTGAGAGGCAGAAGTTCCCTTATTTATGTCTATAGCCCCAAGGTCTGGGGCAGAATCTAGTGGCAAGAAGTGATCACAAATGCAGCTCCTCCCTGGATCACACCACTCCTAGAATCTAACCTGGGAAAGCTGGCTCCAGTTAACTAAAACAACCAGCATCAAGGACAGACCAACAGAAAACTTCACTCAATACTTTGTTCCGTCTTCCAGATGAGTCACCAGGGGCCACAAACTGTAGAAGTGTCACTAAAATCAGTCCATTTGGTTATTATCTGCTACATATATATAGAAATCAGAGTTGTTGATCAAAATACAAGTTGGAACATGATGGGGTACTATATGTTCCTGAATGAAGGGGCAAAAGATTTATTAAGCGCTTGGTCAGGGATGTTTCATTCATTAAGTCATCCAATCTCCTAAGGACTGCATAAAGTAGATATTTAGATGTCATTTTTCAAGTAAGAAAACAGAAGCTTAGCAAGTATAACTAATTTTTCTGAGTCACCCAGTTAGTAAATGACTGCGTCAAGATTTGAACTCAGAACCAGGCACAGTGGCTCACATCTGTAATCCTAACACCTTGGGAAGGCAAGGCAGGAGGATCACTTAAGGCCAGGAGTTTGGAAACAGCCTAGGCATAGTGAGACCTAGCATAGTGAGAACCCTATCTCTACCAAAAAAATTGAAAATTAACTAGGCATGGTGGGATACACCTGTAGTCCCAGTTACTCAGAAGGCTGAAGCAGGAGGATGGCTTGTGTGCCCAAGAGTTCAAGGCTATAGTGAGCTATAATCATACCACAACACTCCTGCCTAAGCTACAGAGCAAGACCCTGTCTCTTAAAAAAAACAAAGATTTGTACTCAGGTCCTTATTCTTCAAAGCCTGCCATCTTTTCACATATGACGAGGTTCACAATCCTCCTACCAACAGAGACAGCTAAGAGTGAGCCACAGCGGAAGAGTCAGCACTTCTAGAGGCATTGCTTGAAGTGAAGCAAAGCGGGGATGGCGGGAGAGGAAGGAAAAAGGAAAGAGCACGCGCTGAGGGCCCGCAGCATGCCAGGCACGGGGCATGACGCTCCCCACGAGGTATTTCATCTCTTCCTCATAGCAGGCTAGAAGACAGGTGTAATGATCTTCACTTTACAGAGAAGGAAAGTGGGCACAGAGAAGTGAAGTCACTTCACAAAGTTGCAAACTGTACTGGAGCTGAGCTGGAAAGAGGAACTCAGGAAGGGCTGAAGATTCCATCGTCAAGGCCCTTCCCTGACATGTCCACCACCACCCGCACCAGATTATATCTAATCCGAGATGCTACCTGATCCAGAGGGATTTATGAAGGCAAAGTGTTCTATGCATCTGGCTAGAGCCCAGCCCTCCTATGGTTCTGAAATCCAAAATGGTGAATCCCTATTACACTCAGAGCAATGGTGCTGGGGGCTGCAAACTTTGGAGCAAATGCAGGACAGAACCTGAGTCTTCTCATCATCATTTGTATAATTGACTCCTTGGCAAGGGAGGCTTAAACTGGAAACTGACCTCATCCCAGGCCCAGCTTTGGGGGAGGTCATGTGGAAGCACTTTGCCTTCCCCTGGCCTCCTGCCACTTGTATTGCTTGGCTCTGATCTGCGTGTGTATCGTACTTTAAGATGAAAAGGCTGCAGAGACAAACAAGGAATAAAATCAAACACCACAGAAAACTTCAAGTACAACAACTGCTGCCATGCCGGGCACAGTGGCTCACACTGGTAATTCCAGCACTTTGGAAGGCCAAGTAAGGCAGATTGCTTGAGGTCGGGAGTTCGAGACCAGCCTGACCAACATGGTGAAACCCTGTCTCTACTAAAAATACAAAGATTAGCCAGGCGTGGTGGTGCATATCTGTAATCCCAGCTACTAGGGAGGCTGAGCCAGGAGAATCGCTTCAACTTGGGAGGTGGAGGTTGTAGTGAATCAAGATTGCACCACTACACTCCAGCCTGGGCAAAAGAGCGAGACTCCATCTCAGAAAAAAGAATGGCTGCTATTTGTGACTGCCTGCCATTTAGAACACTAGCTTGCTAAAATCTTTTTCTAGTCCCTGGTTCAAATGCCACCTCCTTTAGGAAGCCACTCTCTGGAAAGAATGCCTCCCTCCCTCCTCTGTTTTATGGTTAGTTTTTTAATTATCACATTCAGCCCAATAATTCATTAGACTTCCTTGCTCTCGTGGTTGTATTGAAAGCAAGGACCCTGCCCTCTTTGCAGTAATGAAAGTAAACTAATAGCCACCATCTGTTGGGTACTCGCGTGTCCCACATGCCTTATATTCATTATCTCCTTCCATACTCATGATATTCTGTTTCTTTCCACCATTTGGAAACTGACATTTAGAAAGATCATCCACAGGTTCAAGGTCTAAACTCAGATCCAAGGCTGGGCTCCTTCCAATAAGCAATGATGCACAAAGTATTTATTATAAAATATTTGTTCAGTATTTGTGAATTCATGGGTTCCAATCCTGTCCTCCAGTGTCACTAAAACAGAATGCAGTAGGATTTCAGTTTCCCGTTGCTGTATAATAAACCGCCCCCAGTCTTAGTGGTTTAAAGCAACACCCATTTTCTTTGCACTTGATTCCAAGGATCAGCAATTCCGGCAGGCCTCAGTGAAGACCACTCCTCTCTGCCCCATGCAGGGTCTGTGTTCCTCTCCGCCCCATGCAGGGTCTGTGTTCCTCTCCATGGCCTGTCTCCTCTTGCCATGGCACATGTGTTTCACTCTGACTGAAAACAAAGTCTTCTTAAAAGACTCCTTCATCTCAGAGGGTCAATTCTGCTGCATCCTACGGTAGGCCAAAGCAAGTTACAAGTGCAGACTAGATTCAAGGGAGTACAGAGATCGACTCCAGCCCTTGTTGGGAGGAGGGAGCAAGGTCACATCGTGAAGGACAGGGGTCTACGAGAAGTGATCCACTGGGGCTGGGGTGGTTAACCTGATGTGCTCTCTTAGCTAGGCTCTGGATCCCAAATGTGGTCAAGCACAAGTCTAGATGTCAGGGTGAAGGTATTTGTGGATGTGATTAATGTTTACAATCAATTGACTTCAATTGAAACAAATTTCCCTCAATAATGTGGGTGGACCTCATCCAATCAGTTGAAGGCTTTAAGAGCAAAGACACAGATTTGCTGAAAAAGAAGCAATTCTGCCTCAAGTCTGCAACACAGAAGGTGTGGGGTTTCTGCTCGGGTTTCCAGAATGCTGGCCTGGCACACAGATTTTGGATCGCCAGCCTATCGAGTGGTCCTTCAGACTTTAGACTTACCAGGCCCCTCAATCATGTGAGCCAATTCATTAAAATAAATCTCTCTCTCTCTCATGCTCTCTTTCTCTCTCTCTCTCTCTCTGTGCATATGTGTATACATATACACAAACATATACATACATAATAGTGGACATGTATATATATAATACTGTATGTGTATGTGTATATATGTATATATATACATATATATACATAAAAGCACGTGTCTGTGTCTGTGTGTGTATAAAATAGTGTATGTATACATACTATTAGTTCTGTTTCTTTGGAGAACCCTGAAAAATACATGGACAATTTTTTTTTTTTTTTTTTAGATGGAGTTTTGCTCTTGTTACCCGGGCTGGAGTGTAATGGCGCGATCTCGGCTCACCGCAACCTCCGCCTCCTGGGTTCAGGCAATTCTCCTGCCTCAGCCTCCTGAGTAGCTGGGATTACAGGCACGCGCCACCATGCCCAGCTAAGTTTTTGTATTTTTAGTAGAGACGGGGTTTCACCATGTTGACCAGGATGGTCTCAATCTCTTGACCTCGTGATCCACCTGCCTCAGCCTCCCAAAGTGCTGGGATTACAGGCATGAGCCACCGCGCCCAGCCACATGGACAATTTTTAACAATCTGCTACAAACACGAAAGATAGATTCTGATCAGGACATAGGGCTGTGGCATTAACTGTCCACTGCCTTAAAGAGAGGGAGACCATTCCTAGTATGATCTGGAAATCAGAGAGGAGCTGCCTGAGACCTGGCACGTTTGTCTCTTTTGGCCAGGGTTTGCTATGATAATCACCAGATACACTTCACAAATCATCTCTTTT